TAACGACTGGAGACGTAACAATAAGTTTAACATAACATTTGCTGTTATGTTAAACTTATATAAAGTTTTTCTTCATTACCCATTCAAGCCGTCTCCAGCCATTATTAGTCTCAAAGTGGGTTCGTCGTCATCGAAATTCAATGAAGTAGTTGTGTTTCCCGTGAGTGTACATAGTGTACAATAGTAACAGTATATGTAATAATTCTGGCTGACTTTAATTTGTTCACATGAAATATGCCAATTATTATTTATTTCATTATGCTTCAAATGAAAAACGGGTTGAGTCTGATCGATACTAGACAGAAAAACTGGCACCACTGAGACCAGTCTTCAGAAAGTAACTCTTAATGGTTGCAAAAGTAATTTACACAGGAATAAATGGGAAGTGGTCTGTTATAAGCTACTAAAGTATATGAAATTGTGTAATTGTAATATATATATTTGATGATATATATATAAGAAAACCCAACCTCTTTCTTTTTCTTCAAACTGTTCTTTATTTATAAAACTCACCTTTATTTCAATAAATTACTCAATGTTCCAATAATCATATTTTTGCCTTCTACAATAGGGTGACTTGACATATCTATAAAAGTTGGTAATCAAAAATGTTTTGATCTTTCTCTTTCTATATATTCTTTCAGCATTTTATTTGTATATAACTTTGGTAACACATAAAAGTTTCCCAACCTCCTCTGACTTAGAATAAATTTTGTATTTTACTCAATACATATTCTACCAATTTCGCATTTCTGTTCTTTCATTGAAAGTTCACATATTTGCTAGACATTTTCTCATACTGATTTCTTTTATCAAGTTGTTCTTATACCATATTCTTATAAAAATTGACTAGTAGTTAGGAAGACACTTGAATGGTGGAAGTAGAGAAAGAGGGTAGTACGTCAGCAACACTATAGGGTGCGTTGCTAGAAGAAGGGTTACACCATATGATTACATCACCGACATCAGAGGGCACGTTGCTACGAGAAGAGTGACATCATATGAGTATATCATCATCACCAGAGGAAATAATGCTAGGAGGGGTGACACCATACGATTACACCATCAACATTGTAGTTTCTCACTTCTATATGCTAATATTTGAGCAGACACAATTATTTCGCTGATTGTTTGTACATATTTTTTAACATGACAGTAAAAAAGAACTTCATAAAATATTTGATCTTTGAATATTATTTCATTAGATTTATAATTCTTGCTTTTATAATTAACATTTATGACATAATTTTTATCTATTCACCCTGAGAAGGGAATTGATTGAAGTCTCTAAATAACGTATACAAAATGATAAAAGTGTATTCACGAAATTCTATTTCTCAATAGCTGTAGGGTACATAAATTCAAGATAGTAGATTATAATTCTATTCTATAATGAATAAAGGATTCAAACAGATCAACTTTTCAAATCAGTTATACTTTCACTTACCCAATATGCTTCAAGCAGATATCATAAATACAAATATTTATAACTTACACTTTACAAAGATATGTGGTGTTTTATAGGCAGACAGTGTTACTATACTTCCATAGCACTGCATACAGATTACAACTAATCTCAACTTATGTTTATAGTGTTCATTTATATATTTAATTGTATTATGTGTGTTTTACAAAAACAGATGTTGTTTCTATAGGCAGATAGTGTTACTAACACTTTTAATGATTATAGTTTTCATTTCTATGATGAATATATTGTGTAACCCTGAAAAGCATGCATATTGAAATCTCTAAATAATTTACAACAATTTAAGTTTCATAATTAGCTTTGTAAGCTGATTTGCTTCACTGAAGTTTAATTTTGAATGATATATGTAAATAACCATTTAACCATTTCTGTTGTAGAAAATTAAATTCTTACCTTC